GCTTATTTGAAAGGCCTTTCAAAATACAGAAGAATGGCATTTTTCTTTTTGAAATATCTTTTTTTGTTTTAGAGATATTAGAGATATTGACGAGATCAGTGATGACGTCATATTGTTTGCAACTAAAAATAGTAAAATACTGAATAAACAATATCTCTAGGAATATTGAAGCAGTGTTCTTGAAATTTGGTACCACAAATGTACATAAAAAAAGAAACAAAATGACAGCCTTAGTGCTGTTGCCATGGTAACTCTTTCGGCTCCAGTCTCTTTCTGTCAAAAAACCAAATATCCCCATTTGCAATCTCTAAAGTGAAACAAAGGGTCCTACTTGGAACCGACATAGTTCCCATATTGTCTTAACTCTCATCATTAAATTGGGTGGGGTAGATGGTTCTTGGTTTAAGACAAAAACTGGGAATTTCAGTTTTTATTAAGACAGCACCNAATGTTGTAGGGCTGTAGGATCCGTGAGATGGTCTCAGAAGTGCCCTTAATGTAAGGAATAGTCACTGTAGCAGCACCGGCGGTAAAACTGTTGTCATGGCAACAGCACTAAGGGTGTCACTTTGTTTCTTTTGTAATGTACATTTGTGGTGCCAAGTTTCAAGAACACAGCTCTAATATTTCTAGAGATATTGTTAATTCAGTATTTTACCATTTTTAGTTGCAGACAATATGACGTCATCACTGATCTCATTTGCATAATAGAAAAAAGTCAATATCTCTAAAACGAAAAAGATATTTCAAGAAGAAAAACACCATTCTTCTTTATTTTGAAAGGCCTTTCAAATAAGCAGAAATTATTTTTCATGTCATATGCACTTTAACTTTAGGTGGAACGATTTGGATTGTGTAGGTGAATCAACTACAATGTAGGCAAAATGACTTTGATTTAGGAGAATCGACTCTTAGGTGAAACGACTTGTATGTGAAACAACTGACATCCAAACTACTTTATCAAATGAGTATACAATTCTTATCAATCGATGCATATCATCTCAGGGTATTTTTCACGCAAATACTAATTCACTACTAAGGTATGTGAGTGAAAATCGTGAAGAGTATGTGAAAAGTTTGTGAAAAGAAAGAATTCTGAAATAAATGTTGGAAATATACATGCGTGCTATAGTAGACATTCACATGCATGTCAAATCTTCACAATACAGGTAAAGTATTTGTCTTGCATGTGAATTTTTTCTATGTACTATGTGAACTTCATATAATGCATGTGAATTTTTTTACACAAGTGAAACAATTTGGTCATGCGTGTGACTTTCTTCAGTGCGTGTGAACCATTTTTCACACATCTGAAACATTATTGTTTGTTGTGTATGTGAAATTGTTTGCATACATAAAACAATTTTGCAATGCATGTGATTTTTTTCCATGTATCTGAAATTCTTGAGAGATTTCCACCCCTCTACACAGTCAGGCAAATACACACCAGCATATTTGACATTAAGACCACAACTTCCGCAAGACTTCAGTTTCAACAGGTCATTGATCACAACTTTGTACTGTTTACTTAATCCTTCTCACAGTAAAATTTATTAGTCAAAGGAGTAAAATTGTTTGGGATTGCACTCCTGCAAATGATTTTTGAATACTTTCCAGGCTGTGATAGGCCTCTAAATTGTGCAAAAAAAGCAGAGTTTCTTTGTGGAACTTGAGCATCCCAGACATGAACCGCCATAGTAAAGATATCAGTGACGTCACCTATTTTTATTAATATGCCAACCAGAGAACTATTGGCTGATGAAACAAAGAATTCTTTTGTTTAACATTTAAAACAATTAAATAACAAAAACGATGTTTGTAAACAAAGATATCCCTATTTGATTTTGAGTGTTGAAATAATCATCATTAGATTTGTGTGTAAAAGACCCCGGGAACGAGTTGCATTAACCCATGATGCAGTGCTCTGGGAAAAGCACGCATGATTTCAACGGTCAAACGAGATTGATGGAAATTATGTGTGAAGAACATTAAAATGCCTCAGGAATGGAGCAACAAAATCTGGACCTTTTGGCCCCAAGAAAGTATAAAGAATCACATGGCTTCTAGATTAAGATTTAAGATAGCATTTTGGAAGTTCAGTGTTCATCATGAACTCCACCTAAGCAATCATTGCTGCCATCTCTTTTGGATCTTTGTCTATATTCTTGTCCATTTCAGCTTTGTTATAAGCTTATGTTTGCGATCATACTTAGACGAAAAAGAATTTCAAGCTTGTCATAGAACTCAATCTGAAATCGAGTGCCTCTTGTGAGTGGTTGCCTTTATTTTGCATTTAGCCTTTAGAAGTGAAACAGAATCATCCTTATTTAGGCAGGGTAGCCCCATCAGCCACAATAACAACAACAATAATAATAATAATAATTCCTTCATATTTAGCGGATTATTTCATTAGAAATCGCACTATTCAAACTTACAAGACAAGACAAAGGAACAACATTCAACAACAAAACCCTAAGTTAACCCTATGGACAAACACATTTAGATTTTCAGGTGCAGTTCTTTTTGATGATATACCCACATCAGTAAAAAGAAACCATCTCAAAAGAAACCATAGGTTGGTATCAAAAGGGGCCTTGCATAAAACTAAGACTACATGAGAAAAATCCAGAATTTAAAAGTTACCTCAAAGTGCAAGGAGTTTAAAAATTTAATACAAAGGAAATTACATGTCTATGAAGTACAATTTTTCTAGATCAGTACAATAAAAGAGAGCAATCAAAGTATATCTAAGTAGTATAAGTGGAAAACTAAATGGCTTAAATGAAAAATAAGAGAGTTCTCAAAAATCGAAAGCGATGTGGTTTCTTTTACGATGTGGGTAAATCATTAAAAAGAACCACCCCTGAAAATCTAAATGTGTTTCCCCCTAGTGTTAACTTAGGGTTCTGTAGGTGAATGTTGTTCCTTTTTCTTGTCTTGTAAGTGTGAACAGTGCGATTTCTAATAAAAAAAAA